ACCCCCCTCCCCCACGGCCAGCTGTTTCTGTGTCTGCTCGCTTTTGCTCCAATTCATGAAAATATATGTGGCATGTTCTAATCTACTTGTTCGATGGTGCCATTAGTCTTTGTCCCAATTTTAGGGAACACTTAAATTCAAAGTTTTGTCCATTACTCCAGTATTATGCTATTAAATGGCTGCTCGAATTCTTGTCTCCAATTGCTGAGCCTCGTACCAATGATACTACCCACAGTTCCTGAAACTGCAATGGAGCAAAACGCTGGTCAAGATAATAACATAGTACTAGTATGATACCAAAAGTTCAAATCAAACTGTGATCAGGCGTAGTACCTCTATCTGCCTGTGCACGATTAATTTTGAATTGTAGGGGGCTTGCCAACTCTTCCCAGTCTAAAAATGGTGACTTGTGTTACAATCTGGTTGGAAAATTTAGCAAATAGACAAGACTGACCGGATACTTTGCCTCTATAAGATTGACAATTAATTTTGGAAGTTTGGTTAGTGGACGTTAATCTATGTGTATACCCGTTCCATTTCTCTGCCCTGTTGTAGGACTTAAACTTTTCTGTTTTTCTTTTAAAGATGGATGCCACAGCCCTTCATTATGAAAACCAGAAGTTGGTGCAGCAATTGGAAGCACAGAAGTCTGAAATGCATGTGTTGGAAGCTAAGTTCAAGGAGTTGAGGAATGAACAATCTTCTTACGACAATACTCTGATTTCTCTTGATAAGATGTGGAATCAGGTTCTTTCCTCTGAGTCTCATTTTATGGTTCTTTTCTGGTTCGTAATGCTTCTAACTAATATATGCTAATTATAGCTTGTTGATGATTTAATCCTGCTTGGAGTTCGATTTGGTGGTGGTTTGAACAATTTACCTGCACTTGACCATGAAGAGTTGTCAGAAGGTTGCTCTATTTGTTTAACTGTTAAATGTTGCTTTCTGAGATGTTCTTTTTTGTTTCAGTAGCGATGTTGCCTTAGCTGATTGTGTGTTCTTTTTTTGTTGCTCAGAATCCATCCAGTCGTGTCCTTCTGAGGAAATTTTTCTCTTCATGCTCTTGAAGTCCAACAATTATGGAAAAAAGGACGACAATAGCATGTTGGAATTTGCTGAAGAAGATCTTGCTTTGCGCCGTTCGGCAACTCTTGCTCTCATGAGGTCCCTTCAAGAGGCTATTGCTGCACAACAGGCTAGAAGTGAATATTTGTCATTAGCTTTAAATGGAGAGAAGTCAAATGAAGGTAAAGACAAAAAGTAATATCTGGCTTTTCCCCTCCATTTTTTTCAGTGCACCTTCATTATTTGCTAACTACACATCTGCTTGAACTTTCTTTATTTAATTTAGATGTTGTTGTTGCCCTTCAAAACCATAATGATCACTTGAAAGAGGTGGTTGGCAATGTCCGTGAAGCTATTTCTATTGTCAATGAGAAGCATAAAAGGTATCTGGATGAGATTGAGGCTTTCAAAAGCGGCTACTCAAAAGAATTGCAGGAAATCAAGCATCTTTCAGGTGTTAAAAATGTCATTCCTTTCCTCATTTGATATATTTGTTAAATTTTGTCTCGTGTGCATATCTGCGCATTCACAGTTATTATCTTCTCCGTAGTTACCAGATTCACTAAACCACCCTCTGAACCCCAAACCCCAATCTCGATTGGGATTCGAGTTTGTTGCCAATCTGTAAGGATGCGCTGACCGAACGTTCAGGTGGACCATTAGATTCCAATCAAGGAGATTGAGAGAAAAACGGAAGGAATTGCCATGCAGCTATCTCATGTCGAGTAGATCGAGTTGAACGTCACCATTGGGTGCTCTCGAGTAGGTTGGCATGGTACGGGCTGCGGCTGCAGCCATAGCCATGAACCATGTGTGGATGAGGTGAGGAAGATGGAGTCGATAGAATCCCTAAGGAAAGCTTTTTGCAAGCAGATCAAAGAAACTGGAGGGGTGGCGCTCCATGCTCGGCAGGGTAGGCAGTCACGATGCTTATTAGGGATGGGATTTGGTAGTTGGGACCCAGGATCGTTTATGGGCTGTGTGGGCTGACTAGGCCCGTTTCTTGCTTTGCCTATTTTCCAATGCTTCTGTGTGCAGAACCATGTGCTACTTTAGTGTTTGTGCCTAAAGATCTAGTGTTCACAAACCCTAACCTCCTATTTGCTGAACCCTGATCTCTGATTTGCTGAACCTGACCTTTGATTCGCCGAACCCCGATCTCTGATTTGACGAACCCGACCTTCGATTTGCCAAACCCCGATCTCTGATTTGCCGAACCCGACCTTCGATTCGCCGAACCCTAATCTCTGATTTTCCGAACCCGACCTTCGATTCGCCAAACCCCGATCTCTGATTTTCCGAATCTGACCTTCGATTCGCCGAACCCCAAATTCTGGCTTGCCGAACCTGATCTCCGATTCGCGAATCAGAGATGTACAACGCCTAGTGAACCCGATACAGGCTGAGGTAGCTAATTGTGAAGCCGAATAGCAAATTGCAAATCAGGTAACAATATACGAATGCATTTGGCTTAATTTTAAAACATACCATTTCCTTCTGTCATCTGGATGATTAAAACTTGGCCCCCGCCCCCCTTTTTTTAGACTAAAGTACTGTTCTGTTGGCAAGGCGCGCGAATGCACAGCCAGCCCACCCGCGTTCGAGTCTCGGCTCGCATGCGTGATTCTCAAGGTTGCCTCTTCTATTAAAATATGCCACCAAGGACTAGTCCTGGCTGGTCCCTTTTTTTAAAGCTGGTCCCTTTTTTTAAAGCTGCCCTTTTTCACAACAAGCTCGGCTTTGCATTCATGACAAGATTGACCTTGCATCACAGTTTGCATATTTCATACGGAAATAATTTGTGGCATTAATTGTGCTAAAACTTGCTGCCAATACAACTGAAAGAAATGTACTAAGATATGTTAACAGACCCTTACCAAAAAAAAAAAAACTTATCTTGTTCAGTGCTTCCAGATTTTGAGCTATAAAACTGGTCAAGCTTTGATTCTAAAGCAAAGCAATCCATATTCACGTGCTTATGCAGGAGAGCTAGAGGAAACCATGGCGGAGCTTGAGGAAAGTCGACGGAAGATGGTTATTCTCCAGTTGCAGAGGCATGGAGGTTCGCTAATGAACATGTCTGGTCCAAACGATGTGAATAGTGCTGTTTTGGCTGATAAATCTTCAGACAAAAACATGGGCTGGGGAGATCTCAAAGATGCTGTTGAGGAAGCTAAGGTACTTTTAACCAGACCGGATAACATTGCATATATGCATTTTATATGCCTTATCTGCTCAGCATTCATCTTATATTATAATTTGTCCAATGGAGGGCAGACCCTTGCAGGAGACCGCCTGTTTGAACTCCATGAGACTCAAGAGGACAATTTCATACTGTCTAAGCAGTTAGAAGATCTGCAGGTTGGCACCTTCTTTGAAATGGATGGCTAACATATTTGTTGTACTTCCAAGTTGTATCCTGGGTCTTCTTATTCCTATAATCTGCATTCTGGTGTTATGTGTGCAGGGTCAATTAAAAGACGACAACTATATTTTCACATCAAAGCCATATACAATTCTTAGCGATCAGTTACATCATCTGAATGCTGAGATAGAACGATACAAGGGTTTGGTTGAAGTATTACAGGTAATATGCTTTTCCTCTGTTGTGCTGTTGTTTTGCAAGGTATTTTCTCTTGACCAGCTTTTCCTTTCTTTGACTTTAGAATGATAAGAACCAGTTCTTGCAAAGGGAGAAAGAAATGTGTGCAAAAGGAGAATCCGTCAACAATATTAAACAATCCATTACCGCTTATGAGGCCAAAATTGAAGAACTGGAACATCAGATTCTGAAATCCATGGCTGAGAAGAATGATCTTGAGATCAAAGTTGAGGAATCATTGCAAGATTCAGGTATTGAGGCCTGACTTAGTGGCTTGCTAAATCGAGATCTGGGTTTACCTCCTTCTGCAGTGTAATATATACTTTGTTCTCAATTCCACCACTGTCTAGGTAAAAAAGACTTCAAGGATGAGATTCATGTCATGGCTGCAGCACTCTCTAAAGAGATGGAAATGATGGAGAATCAATTGAATAGATCAAAGGATGCGGCTTCTGAAGCACTTGCATTACGTGAAGAAGCTGAATCGTTGAGAACCTTGTTAGCTAAGAAGGTATGTCATTGATCTGGATCTATTGATGTTTCCAAACTGGATCTCAGTCTGCATCTGTTGCCATGTCTGTGAATGTCACTGAAACTTAACATGTTTGTACTTGGTAGTGAGATTGCCACACAGTGTGTAATGAAAAATAAATCATTTATGTTTCTTCATCGTGATTCCTGTACACATTTACTCACTTTGCATTGATTTTATCTGATAGGATATTTTCTGCATTCATATATCTGACATATAGACTAAGTACAAAGAGCAAGCACCACATACCTGAACTAGTCCATTCTTACCGTGTCATGAAGTGAGTTGAACAAGGGGTTGGAAATGGAATAAGATGGATTAAGGTAGAATGACATTAGATTGAAGGGGTTACCAGTTGGGGTAGTAACACTAGAATAGCTGGTCAAGTGAAGTTTGTTTACTGATCGCCTTCTACAAAGAAGCAAAGTCATCACTTAAATAGTCGACTGCTAGCACATAACCAACTCAATTTAAACCAACCAAATCTAAAATATAGCATGTTCTAACAGATGCACATATGTGACTTTTTTGAGAAGTTTTCCAGATGCACAAGTATCTAAAACCTAGCTCAAGCAACCACCTCTGTATGTACGTTTACTTTTCCCTATATAGTATGCAGAAGTGTTTATGTTTGTCATTCAAAATATATTTGTCATAAAATTTATTCTATGTCATTTTTCTGAATATTTTATCTCTAAAGTATACGAAAAGTAATAGTTAATTAGGTGTATCAGAGACACTGTCTGATCTCCAAAATGAGAAGTGAAGAGAAAGGTTATATTATCTTCAGGCTATCTCTGCTTTATTAAAGCTGGGTGATTATTTACAAAAAATAGGATTAACTCAATACTCTAGGGTATACTCATGTGTACTTTGATGCTGTTATATGCTTGCATTGTTACATGTTTTTAGGATCATTGTTAGATCTTCAAACAATATTATTCACAAACTATTTCCGTAGAGTTTTATCTTCTGAACTATACCTGAGAAATTGTGAATAGACCTCTAGCATAATCGAAACATCTGACGGAAGTATCTCCAATTTTCAGATCAGTGAGCAGAAGGAAATATCTGATAGATACAACGCACAAGTCTCTGAGATCAAGTCCCTCAAAGAATTGGTATGGTATCATGAAAATCTCTCGTCTTCTAATTGTGCTGACAGCTTGAGATATATTTGCATTATCTGAAAATGTTTGATTTTCCCTCCCCCATGGTTCTCTCAGCTCGGAGAAATTTTCGAGTTATTACACAAGCAATTATATCTGATTTGTCATTACTTATTAGCGTAGACTCACCCCATAGATGGCCAAAGGAGCAACTTGGAGAGCAAGTAGCTTGTGCCTTAAGCCAGTTATATATAAGGAAATATAAAATTAGTTACGTTAGGGTGAGATATGATCAAATAAGGTTAGATCTGTCAAGATTAGTCTACATGTCCATTAGGCATGCTACCTGTGAAGATTTAGTCCTTGCTCTATAACAAAGCCATTCTTTAAAAAGAGAGACAGCATGCACCATTAGGTTATCTCTACTTGTCATTAAATAAGGTCAGATCTGTCAAGATTAGACCTTGCTTGATACCTGGTTTCTGAAAATATATTATGGATTAACAGTTAGTTCTTAGTCTTTCAAGCATTGGTGTATATTCAGCTTTTGCAACTAGCTACCTGAAATTGTTGTTATTTTCTAACTGTGGGCAAACAAACATCTGGTAGTGAATATGCAACTAACAGTATGTGCCCTTAAATTTTAAACATTTGTGGGCAAACAAACATCTGGTAGTGAATATGCAACTAAGAGAGGTTACATATATGAGCATAAATATAAAAATCTTCCATTTTCTTAAGAAAAACAAGGAAGTATTGCCCTTCAATGGTCCGAAGCCAAGCTCTTGCAATTTTGCACTGTGTCTGGATTGCCATTCATGTTTTCTGAATGAAATTTCAACAGATTGAGACGTTGGAAAAGGAAAATCAGGAGTTGGAATTTATTGTGGATATGTATGGGAAAGAATGTTCTGAGTCGAGGTATGACTTGATTGTTATCATTATCACTTATCAGTTGTGTTGATTTTTTATGACTGTGACTTATGCTGTTCTCTTAGATGATCACGTAGTCCACCAGATTCTTGAAAGTCTCTGTTAGAAAATGTTTTCTACTTACTTGGGATTTACAGTTTACCACACCTTGGGAACAAGAGATAAAGTTGACACATCCCTTTATGATTCTTAAAGTTCTACTATCATTCAATGCATTTTTTTCTTCTGAATAAACATGTTCTACTGTATGCCTAAAAGAAGTCCATCTTTACTCTAATCCTCAATTTCAGCTATATACTTTACATATGAAAATTTGCGGTCAGGTTAAATCTATCAGGTTGTTAAAACATGTGATTGTTAAGCTTCATGCACTAGCCAACGCAACCAGAAGTCCAAACTGATGGAAAGGGCTAAGCAATCCACATATACACTTCAACAGTGATGAGAGTGTTAATTTGGATGCAATCTGCTAACACTAGCTGACATAGGTGCTATGTGACATTTGTAAATGCCGAAAGAAAAAGATACTAGTTTAGATTGCTGAAAATAAAATGTTCAAAACGGCAAGGAATAAAATCATAGTTCATATAGGCTAAGAACTCAAAAAATGAAAAAAAAAACACCATAAGTTGGTTACCTCTACGCTTTCCTCCATTACCAAATGCCCATTGATTTCCCCTTTGAAAACGATCCATAGAATGATTGTCAATTCACAGCTTTCATCAATTTTGCATACTAATATATTTTTGCTTCATTTGTTAGATTCTTATTTTACTCTGTGAATCTAGGACAATTACAGAGATCAAGGAATCAGAAAATCGAGCTCGCAAGCAGGCTGAATATTTGAGAACTAGTCTAGAGGAGCATAGTCTTGAGCTTCGTGTAAAAGCAGCAAATGAAGCCGAAACTGCATGCCAGCGAAGGCTTTGCATTGCTGAAGCAGAACTGGAAGAGTTAAGGACCGATGTAGATGCATCTGAAAGGTCAGTTATCTTCTCCTAGTGACAATTCGATATGTGTTCTCCAGTTTACTGGCACTGAAATAGTTCTCCAGTCTACATGATTGCTATTTCAAACGAGTTTTCCGTTGAGGGGATCAGGATGTTAATTATTGCAGTTATTTCATCCTGGTTGCTGCTATTAATGACGTGAAAGATGTTGAGTGTGTTAAATACATACTTTGTCCGACCGGAATTAGTTGATGTTGTTCAAACGGATGTATCTAGCATCGAAATACCTCTAGATACATCTGTTTGAACATTAATTAATTCTGGACGGAGGGAGTACTGTTTAATAACGGTTAACATAGTCCTTTATAGGTTTCGAAACCACCCATTTTGCCGCTCAATGGCTAATACAACCCATACTTGCTCACAATTTCCATAGGAAATCCGAGCATATACACCTTGTTCCTAAATTCCATTTACTAAATTCTTAATAAACTCATAGGCTCAAAATGCACAAACAAACTGGACTTTTTTTTTTGCAGCCGTTAACCAGCCCAGGCGAAATCAGAACTGGCTAGGTTCCAGTTTAACTCCTGCAACTGGTTCCTGCACCAGCTAGTAATACATATATTTTGTGCCTTACTGTCCTGTTTGGCCAACTAGGTTAAAACCTAATTCGAACTCAATAATCCTAAAAAGACTTATATTTAGGAACAGAGGGAGTATTATCCAACTAATTCTAGTGATCAGCAGTTTAAACGAGCTTTTATATTTTCTTACAGCTGGCACTATATGTTATGTTTGTGAACCAGTAGATATTTTATTGTTCAATGAGGACTTGGAATTCTGTATCATCTCCGCAGCTTCATCCCTTGTATGATCTGTTTTGCAGAGATGTTCTGGAACTCAAGGAGGCAATAAGAATTAAAGAAGCAGAAGGAGATGCTTATATCTCTGAAATTGAGGTTAGCTCAATTTTAGTTTTCTTATCAGCAGTGTTTTTTTTTGTGTGTGCGTGCGAGTGTGTTTGAAAGCAAATGATGCTGTCACTGCAGACAATTGGCCAAGCATATGAAGACATGCAGACACAAAACCAGCATCTTCTTCAACAGGTTGCCGACAGAGATGATTTTAACATAAAGGTGCGTATCTGATACCACGGCAGCTCTTCGCTGCCAGCTTGCTGGGCTTTATGTGGTGGAATCTGTGCTTCTATCTCACCGGCGTTTCCTCTTTGCTGGCGGCATGGCACCCCCCTCAATATAGCAACACACCACTAGGATCCTGTTACATGCTCCATGTGCAAAGACAGCTGCGGCTGTTGGGCTAGGTGGCCTGGTGTATTTCTCCTTTTCCTTTTCCATCTCTATCTATTAGAAGTTACTCCAGTTGCTGCTACTTGTTGATTCATATAGTGTGTCCTTGCAGCACGTCTCTAGCACTTCAGATGCTGGGGCAGTAGTCCAGTGCATCACCTTGCCTTATCGCCTTATTAACCAGGCACTTTAACCCCACATCATTTATACTCTGTTGAATTGCCAGAAGAAACACTGTTTGCTTTTCTTATTGGTTCCCATCAGTAACTTGTTTCTCATCTAACAGCTAGTATCAGATAGTGTGAAGACAAAGCAAGCCTCTGCTTCCCTTCTCTCTGAAAAGCATTTGTTACAGAAGCAACTCCATCAGGTTAACAGTTCACTGGAGTCATCTAAACAAAAACTCTCCCGTGGTGAAGAGCAGGTAATCTCTGACTCATGCCCTATGTGTTATTTATGGTTTAATTTGGTGTCCGCCAACAGTAACTGAAAATCACGTCAAAGCAAATATTTATTGTATTAAAAAATATATTCTCTGTGTGTGTGTGTGTGTGTGTGTGTGTGTGTTTACCACTGAGCTGGTTTTGAAGTGTCTTTATTTGAATAAACCTTACAGATGAAAGCCTATGTCGCACAAGCTATAAAAACTTCTTCAGAGAACAGGCATCATGCAGTTACCATTGAAAAGACTCTGCTGGAGGTATCTGACGCAGAAAAGGAGCTCAAGTGGCTTCGGTCCGCCGTTGGATCCTCTGAGAAAGAATATGAGCAAAACCAGAAAAAAATAGCTGAGCTCAGAACGGAGCTGGAGCATGAGAGGTTAGGCTTGCTGATTAATTTTTGGTTCCAAGTTTGTCTTGCTGTTCTGCCACCAGGGCTTGTTACACATTCTTTTGCTATTTTATAGAAGCGAGAAGAGAAAGCTTGAGGAAGCATACGAGGAGGTGAAGAATGAAGTCATGGAGCTGACATCTGAGAACGAAGAGGCTACTATCCAGAAGCTCCAGGACGAGATAAAAGATTCCAAGGCTATTCTCAAGTGTGGGGTGTGCTTTGACCGACCCAAAGAGGTAACTCGCTGTTCATTGAATTGCATAACCTTATTTTTGGATGATGCAGATTTGTATGTGACTCGAGATGGTAGAAGCTGAGTTATACATCTATTTTTATTTCCATGTGACCGAAGTTCCAGTTTCTCTGTTATGCACTTAAACCTGAAGACCACCTACAGCTGAGTGCTGATTAGCCTTGTGTTCCTTGTTTGGTTGTTGGCAGGTTGTGATCACCAAATGCTTCCACCTGTTCTGCTCAACATGTATCCAGAGGAACCTCGAGCTACGCCACCGGAAGTGCCCGGGCTGCGGCACCCCTTTCGGGCAAAATGACGTGCGAGAGGTGAAAATCTGAAGTCTCAGCGATGCTGCCTTGGATGACCTGGTAGTAGGTAGTTGGTATCTCTGGACACCGTCATCAAGCTGCTCTCGGTGCCTGTCTCTTGTAGATATGTAATGGTTTCGTTGTCCCGTAGGGGCGCCGTAGATCCAGCAAAGAAGTAATAAGACCTAAATAAGATAAATGGACAAGTAACAAAGAAGTGAAAATGAAGTTTGTTGTAACTTTACCGCCTGTGATGTTTGATTGCTGGGTGATCTCTTGCCTCTACTTGAGGAGGCCATTGCAATGATGGTTTGAAGCGATTTACGAGTAAATAAGAAATGAATAGAAGGTGAAGATTGTTTCTGCCTTGAAAAAGGTTAGTCAGCTAGGATATATGATGAACAACTACTCATCAATGGAGGTGACGGTTGATCACCCTAATGCATAGACCCAAGGAAGCAGACTAAAACACCTTGATCATTGCATGGACCAGGTGTGTCTGCAGAGCTGCTCTGGCTGGAGTTGAGAAGCTCCTGCCCTGCTGCAGAACAAATGTACATGAAGATGAGCAAGCTTGACGGGCAATTCCTTCAGAATTATTTGGCCAGCTTTTCTTTTTTTTGCGAAAAAATTCTCGTATTACTCAAAGTTCGGTCTTACAATCTCGCCCTACTGCTGTCTTGTGCTTAGAAAGTACTCCCTCCGTCCCATAATGTAAGACGCATTTTGACACTAGTATAGTGTCAAAAAACGTCGTACATTATGGGACGGAGGGAGTATTTGGCAGTCAAATCGAGCATAATCAAACTAGTAGCCTTCTCCTTATTTATTGTTTGGGCCACAGATTCCTGAGAAACACCATGGCCGTGGATTCCTGAGAATCAGAAGCTGGTTGTTTGTTCACCCTGCTGTCGGATAGCTGTAGAAACTGCAGGAGTTGTGAAATATCAATAATGTCCCCGAGTCATGGTTAATTGTTGCTTCAGCTATATTCCAAAAAGAGAACTGTGATGAACCAACCAGCTAGATCATCATGGTGATGCATGCTCATCCAAAGTACCTGGAAACATCGACTCTCCCCAACAACAAGTAACTGGAAACATCGACCAAAACGTCATGGTCGCAGTTTTGTTGTAATTCTAACAGGAAATAGGGGCAAGGGATTAAAACGAGCCGTTTTCTCATCACCAAAATCGCTGATGTCTTCAATTTTCAGAATCAGGTTCCGCGAAGCTGGATAGAAATCTGATGTGTTTGTTTTAGATTCTGATTTTACAAGGCCTAGAATTTGAAATAGGCAGCTATAGCCCAAAGCCCCAAACAAAAAGGCCGCCTAAGTATGTGCACAAGACATTTGTGTCGTACGTTTGCAAAGCTTGAGTTATGTTTGCTAGTTGACTGTTCGAGATTGTACACTTGCATTTTCCTCTCTCTCTCTCTCTCTTTTTGACAAAACATTCACAATGTGTCATTTGTTTCTGAAGATTATATATTCGCTCAGGAGATTATGAACGAGGCACGGATTTTTATTCTACAAGAGACTACGGGGAGAATATAAGAGCAGAAACACAGAAGAGGGAACCTTGTGGGCGAAGGCAGGGCTGCTCAAGGGCACAATTCGAGGATTCGAGGTGAGGAACGTGGAGTGGGCAGGGAGGGAGTAGTTAGCCTAGGCACGCGAGGTGGATGTGGCTCGACCGCTTGCACATATGATGTAAATTTGGGACTTTGGGGAGCTTTCCCCTCCTCCTTTAATGCATGATACGCACACTCGTGCGTATTCGAGAAAAAAAAAGAATATAAGAGCAGAAACAAGAGTAAAACTAAGTGCCTAGCCTGCCCAAGACTCTTTTCTTGCAGAAAGCTGCCAGATGTTTTGTTTTTTTGGTGCAAACTCAGTTTTATTATATTGATAGTCATGGCGACAGTTGGGACTATTCTAATACTCACTGTCTGACCCATAACAATGTGTGGACATTCAAATTTACTGTTCTTATTCAGTGCAATACTCCTGGTGTTCAAATTTACTGTTCTACGAGAGGCTCTTCCCTAGTTGCTCCGCACATTTTTTTTTCTGTTCATCCAACAGCCTTCATTGGCTCTCAAAGGTATGAATCTGACACCACTCCAGTAGCCTTGGTCCCTTCACTATCTGACCGTTTAGAGGTACAGGCTGCTGGAGTTCCAAGGATAAACCAAATTCCAGCATATGACATCGATGAGAATGTTAGGTGTGAAAGAGCCCCGGAGGTTTGGGATCGAATGTCGTGTTAAATAAGAACATAATATCTCCTGCAGAAAGTAAACAGGAACGTAATATCTCCTGCAAAAAGTAAACAAGAACATAGTGTCTCCTGCAAACACTAAATCCCTTTGAACAAGATACGCAAATCATAGAATGTTAGTTTGATTCCAGTGGGTAACGAGCAGCAGAATGCTGTGCTCCTCTGGTAAGCACAACAAGATGCGCTGCCAGAAACGGTTGGAGGCACGCAGATGGCAGTGCAATGCGGAACATGGTTCTTGCAAAGGAACAGAATCCGTCTCCGCCGGCGCTCTCCGTGAAACCAGCTCAGTTCTGCTGGCCGTCATTGCCGTCGGTGCTCTCTACCGGCGGAATGGTCTGCGGGTGGGTCAGAAGAAAAGAAAGTGCGGTGAGCCGTGAGTGTGCATTGCGTCGAACAGGTTGCGCGCATGGGGCAGAGACGAGACTAGTGTACCATACCATGTCGGGCTTGTAGACGTTGTGGACGACGGAGGCCCCTGCGAGGAGGGAGGCGGCCACGACCACCGATGACCAGGCCAGCGACGGGGTCCCCGTCGGCAGCCGCCCGCCGCCCAACTTCTTGCCACCGCCGTTCATCTTTGCTCTCTCTCTCTCTCTCTCTCTCTCTCTCTGCTTGTGTCCTCCTCCGCCGATCTTGTTGAAGACTGGATCGTTCCTCTTTCTTCTGGCTTCTGGACCGTGTGAAGCCCACGCTTGATTGTAGGTACAAATTAACTATCTTTTACCAATTCTCAAAGAAAAAAATAACTATCCTTTATTAAAAGAAGCACTATCTCAAAAAAAGAAATCTAAAAAAATACTTGGGGGGAAAGTACTCTGTTCAGCCTGGAACTCTCTGAACTGAAACATCTACATTTTCTACATGTTTTCCTTTAGTGAAAAAATGGTTTTCTCGCCCATACGACCGAATTGGCCGGATTAGACTTTCCGTATGATGTGTATTTGAGAATGCATTTTTAGACGATACATTAGGAATTGATTGATTACCATCTCGATTTGCACTGTATGGATGTGTCTTCCAGGTATGGCTCTCTGGCGCATATGCACCTGATATGCGCAAATAAATTGAATTTGCTGGAAAAGTCAAAAAAAATCTGTTTTTTCTTACAACAAACTTGATCTTATATTGTAACTCGTATAAGATTTTCTGCCAAATAAAACCCCTATCGACTTTAGGGAAAAAATCAGGGACAAAAAGTGTGAATAGTAACTTCATTATAATGCGGACTGTGTCTTCGGTTCGGTACTAATGTTTGATAATGCATTGTACTCCCTCCGTTCCTAAATATAAGTCATTTTAGAGATTTTTATATGAAATATATATGGATGTATATAGACGTATTTTAGAGTGTAGATTCACTCATTGTGCTTCGTACGTAGTTCATATTAGAATATCTAAAAAGACTTATACACGCTCCATCCCATAATGTAAGATCGTTTTTTACATTACACTAGTGTTAAAACGCTCTTATATTATAGGACGGAGAAAGGAGTTAGGGACGGATGGAGTATTTAGGAATGGAAGGAGTAATACGCTTGCGTTGTGTGCGGCTGATTCTGTCCGGTGTACAAACAAAACCGGGCATTTTTCGTGTTCAGATTTGACTATCTCTTGGATGTATATAGCGAGTGAACGAGCCATGCCTCTTCCTATAAAAAAAGAAGGTAAACAATAAGCCAGTTGGTGTGATAGATTCAGAACTGCATGCCTTTTATGAAGATGAGTTTTACTTTACATCACATGAAGTTTATTTTCAAGATGATCACTGCCCTACAACCATTCACTACCAACTACCACAGAATATTATTTGCATGCAAAATTAGAAACAAAAGTGACAGAAAAAAAAGTCAAACAAACACAAAAGGCAGAACCAAAAAAAAGGACAAGAAAACGAGATTACAATAATCTAGCAACACTACTGTCAAGATTGCTCGTCATGAATAATGTTTTTTTCTTACGCAGCCGCCTCCTCCTAAGAAAAGCCTACGGTTCCTCTGCCTCGTGGGTGGATCTTGGCCCCAGGCAGCCCAGGCCATTGCGTGGGGCGTGGGAATTTTTCGGCAAACCCTATTTAGCGTTGCAGGCGCCCGTTATAAGGCATTTTGCTAACGGGCGCCTGCAGCGTGCAACCCTCTGCCGCTATTTTGGGCCGGCCCAGTTCCTCCCTTCCCTTCTGCTTTTCTGTAAAAACTGGAAAAAAAAAGCTGCGCAGCAAGGATTCAAACCGGCAACCTAAAGCAGGTAGTAGCAACGCAGCAACCACTTGGGACAATCAACCTCATGTGACTGGTTCCTCATTTTTACATTTCTATTCTTTCTACAGACGCAACCGGTTTTCTTTTTCTTTCTTATCTTTTTTTTCTGTTACTTTTTTGTTTTACAAATGCGTGAACTTTTCTCAATTTGTGCAAAAAAAAATTGATGAACTATTTTTTTTAGATTTTTGAACTTTTTTCGAAATCGATGAACTTTTTCAAATTTGATGAACTTTTTTCAAATCCGGTGAACTTTTTTTCAAATTTGATGAACTTTTTTCAAATTTGATAACTTTTTTCAAATTTTATGAACTTTTTCTGAAATTCGATGAGCCTTTTTTTTAAATTGATTAACTTTTTTTTCAAAATCGCTGAACATTTTTCAAAACTGATGAACCTTTCTCAAATTCGATGATAGTTTTTCAAATTTGCTTTTTTTAAAATCTGTGAACATTTTTCAAATTTGATGAAGTTTTTTTGCAAAATC